ATTCAACAGCTCAGTCGTATAGTCACCAGTTGTTAGCAACTCTGTTGCTCACGCTCAGCAACTTGGCTTTCCTGCCTGCCATCGTGGTTGCAGTCAAACACGGTTACATCACCGAGGCCTCTGTCTACCTCTTCAGCATGTTTTTCTCCACGGTAAAACATTCAGGAACATGCATGTACCTTTTTATACATGCAGACATACTTACGAGTGTGTTTCTGATACATAAATAGGTTTAAGAGTCGATTGTTATGGCGTGGGTTTTGTGTAAGAGAGGAGACGGTGAGCTTTCCTGTTTCTGCATTATTCTTACACATTGAACTTTTATAGCTTTAATATCATTTTGGCATAGTTTGTAGGTGGTACTGAGATATTCAGTAAACTTGTCACCAATAAAGATGATACAAAAATAGTAATAAAAAAAACAAGATGAGCATCAGCAAATAATACTAATCTTAGTTTAAACGTTGATATCTGCCCTTACTGTCATTTTTCCCTCTTCCCTCTTGTTTGTAGTTCTACCATGCTTGTGACCAGCCGGGCATTGCAGTAATGTGTATAATGGAGTATAATACTCTGCAGTACTGTGACTTCCTAGGATCCATCTGCTCCTTCTGGGTCACCATCCTGTGCATGGCTCGCATCAGAAACGCATTCAAATATGTAAGATGCTGATTCCTGCCTCTTCTTTCATACTGTTGACACACTCTGCTTGGCGAGGATTGGCGTATTGGCGTATTATAAAAGGCTGTGTGGGTTTTTCTCACCCGTTTGTGTGTGTAGACTCTGTTCATGCTCGGGACTCTACTGATAGCCATGTCAATGCAACTGGACCGCACGGGCCTGTGGAACCTGCTGGGCCCCATCCTCTGTGCCATACTGATCATGGTCATTGCCTGGGTAAGAGATGCATTTTCCATCTGTTGCAGATGTTGATTATATTTTGGACAGTAATAAACCTGTTTTTCCTCTTCTTTTCTGTTTACAGGTGCGCAAAGGGGTCCATCGACGGCATTGTTACCCGCCCTCTTGGAGGCGTTGGGTCTTCTACCTGATCCCCGGGGTGTTGTGCGCCTTAATCGGCCTGTGTTTGTACACTTTTGCTGAGACAGAGGACAACTACTATTACACACACTCGCTGTGGCATATCCTGGTGGCGAGCTGCGTTGTGTTACTGCTGCCACCAAAGAAGAAAAACAGGGAGAAGTTTGGCTGGAGCAGTGGCTGGAGCCTGAACTGGAGCTGGAGACCCCGGGTTTGTGGATACACTCTCTGTGAAGGCAGCAAAGACGAACTCTACACTGTCACATAGTAGGTCAGGAGATGCTATGTCTAGGTAGTGGCTGTTTGACACCCTTAGACTTACACGAGCATCTGATCCCTGCTGGTGTTGACATTTTACAGAAAAGTTTCCAAGTAATGTATTTTAAAAATCAAAGTGGACCTATATTCTCTTGGGTCTGCAGGTTTCTTATTCATAATTGCATTAAATTAAGTCTTAAACAAAACATGCACAAACACATTTGAAACCTCCACAGTGGACTATTTGATCAGCGGTTCATTGCACCAGCTTAATGTATGGTTGAGCAACAAAACCTTAGACTTTATGCCCAGGAGTTTATGTGCTTTGCGTATATTTCACTAGTGTAGGACATTAATGTTTGAAATGTTTATAAAGAACTCTTTTAAAGTCTTTATATTTAGTCTATTGACACGACTATGTTTAGATCCATTCGACACATGCTTGATCTTTGACTAACAGGTCATTTTAATACTAGTTTTTTTTCCAGAGCTGCTACGCTCTATTGTGCAGTCGTCCAAGTGCAATGCGCAAGAAGACAAATTTATTAGACCATTTAAAACAAAACAACACCTTTGCCAAAGTCTGCTTATTACATTTTTCATGCCTTAATGTTCAATTCAGTCTCCTAAAGGGTGTTGGACTCACAATTGACAGTTTTATAGTATCAAAATGACCACAGCTAAAACCACAGGTAACAGCATCTTTTCATTTGCCCGTTCTTCTTTCTAGCACCTACACTACCCACAATGCAATGCAACACTTGCACAGTCAGTTGTCCCAGGAAAGAGATCATCTTTGACTCCATACACAAATATATAATATGGTACTGTAAACAAACTTTAATGTATAAAGTCAGTGTGATTCCTTTTTAACTTGCGCTTAAGTTTTTGTCCAAATAAAAACTGTCTTGACCCTTATCGGGGTTGCCGTCACCCCCACAGACTTTGAGTTAGATGATATAAACAGGTGGGGAAATGTAAGTGTAAAGCAGTGTAGTAAATGTTAGCATTGTAGCTTTACATCACTATATCTGAATGTTCAAATGTGTAACGTGTATCTGAACATTTCTACCCTTAAGGATGTTTATAGCCGAGTGTGTTATTTTTGTGAACTAATGAAAAAGATTTGCGCACAACTTTGTAGTTGCACACATGTTTGAGTTTACACAGAACTCATCTCCTAATGAATCTACCAGTTTAACTTAGATTATAAAGTGATATAAACGGAGAGCAGACCACACTGTCATTTTTAGTGCTTGCTGAAGCCTCACTGTAACCACGGTAACAGCACAGAAGACTCACCTTTTTATTCTTTTATCGTTGCTCGCATATTTTTCTGACAGGTGCACATTGCAAAACAATGATGTCAGACTTTTGGCAGTGGAACTTTTCCACACCAGTCACATGGCTGACTCTGTTTGCTATTCTGTTTCTAAAAACTATTCACAGTGATAATAAAACAGATGCTAAAATCCTGCGTAGGTCTACATTGTTCCCCTCAGACGATATGTCAAAATCAGTAAGAAAATTGGTAAAGAATGTCGCCTACAAGCAGACCTGACAATGGGACTGGTGTCATTAAAATCATAACCAAAGTCGTCCCTAGTTATGAGCTACATAACTAGGGATTCAACTCATAACTATAAATGTGAGTTTCACAGATAAAACTGAGTTCACTAACAAATGCATCTTTTATTGGAAGTTATCCATGCAAGTCTCTTTCTTTGTTTACAGATCTGCTTGCTGATACAAAAAAGGTCTCACATGTAAATGTTTTACACATTCAGATACGGTAATACACAATCAGCGTACTTATGGCCCCGTTTTGTTTCCATATTCCGTTTGATTTCCATAATCATTGCTGAACTAAGTAACACCGTGTCCTTCTTTTAAGCTCTAATTCCGTTAAATTCTAATCCAAAACCACTTCCTGTATTCACCTGACGCACCTTATGATTAGATGCAATGTATATAGCTACTGATATTACAAAGCAGAGCAATCCAGTGTTCATAGTGTGCAAAGTGGAACTCATTGAATGTATATTCAGAATTTAGTCTTGTGCCTCTTTGTGTACTTTGTATGCCTGAATGTGTGTTTTGTCTCTTCTACCAATAAGGCTGCTGAATACTTTCCATACTGTTTTATGTAAGATGTACACACTACTTCACACATTGTCTAGTGTGTTGCATACTGTAAGGGTTTTGCACTTGGTTTAAATTGAATGTTTCCTACTAACACTCTTGCATTCCCTTACTTTTATTGTTGTAATGCTCTTTTTCTCTCATGTATTAGCGCGAATCACATTGTTGACTAAGTAGGAGGATGAATAGGATTTCTTCAATCGCAACACACTGTTGCTCTCTTAATGTGTAAACATGGAAAAAATGTAATGTTCGGCATCAGAAGTGATTTTATTTCCCTGTGCTGTTAGTCTGTCAAAAACCCAAACCTACCAAAAATAAATCCATGTGTAAAGAACATAATTTCATTTGTTGTCAATGCTTTTTATGTGGCTGTTCTTTTCTATTCCTAAGGCGAAGACACTCCATCGCCAGCACTTATACTTGGATAGCAGAGAGGGGATGGGGAACAGAGGGAAGCAGATTATCCTAATCCTCAAAAATGCTGAAAGTGTGTGTGTGTGTGTGTG